GCCTCACTGTTTGAAGGGAGATGAAGCTACATTATCTCAAAGCGCCTTCCACATTACTTCTAGGGAAAGAGAAGAGGAAGGAAAAGAAAAGGCTGGGAGGAAAGAAGGAACAGAAGGGAGGAGAGACTTGTGAGCATTGTTTATGGCTCTCCTGTTGTACAGTTACTGTGACTAATCACATCCTCCTTTGAAATCACTTCTGCATCATGGTCTGCAAATATTTTCTTTGTCGTTTGAGAGAATTATAAGGATCTGTGTGTAAAGAAGGATATTTAAAGCCGGGCGTGGTGGTGCACGCCTTTAGTCCCAGCACTCAGGAGGCAGAGGCAAGACGGATCTCTGTGAGTTCAAGGCCAGCCTGGTCTACATATTGAGTTCCAGGACAGCTGGGGCTACAGGGAGACCCTGTCTCAAAATGACAAAAAAGAAAAAAAAAGTCTATTTAAGCTATTTAAGGGAGATGTACTTCCAAACAACTTATATGGTTCAATTCTTATCTTTCAAATACAAAATGCCACAAAAGTGCTGTCAGTCTAAGCCGTTTACATCCTTTAAAAGAGTGACTATCAAACCACCAACAGGCACAGTCGTACATATGCACATGATTTTTTTTATAGAGTCTCCAAATATTATCAATTTGAATCTACAAGATAGAGGAATTGAAAACCGATCACCAAACACAAAACAGCTCTTTGGAAAGATGCCTATGGCTATTACCTAAGAGTCACACACATTAGCCTACCTATCTGGGGATTATAGGCCTGGCGATTTCCCCAGGAAAAGGCTCAGGAGCCAGCTCAGAGTGAGAATAACAGGCTCGATTTTTGATTGTCAAAAGCAGTTGCCCAAAGACAACAATAATTTTCAGTTGTTTACAAAATATGAGAAGAGACATGTGCCTCTCATTGGTCTTCCCATCATACCTACACACAAAAATCACCCACCTCATATGAAAATCACATATCACACATGCAACTCACATAACATACATGATAATTTCATATCTCACATGAAAACCACACATCACACACCCAAACCACACAACAATACAAATCATAATCACTTATGACAATCTCATATCTCACATGCAAATCACACATCACACATGCACACATGTACACACATACATGTACACACATCACACACATGCATATCACATTGTCTTCACCATCATTAATCTATGTTCTAAAAATTTAAAAAGCTAGAAATAAACTTAATCCTGGAGAAATAACAACCAACAGAATTTGTTTTAACTCAAAGAGCAACAGGATTTATTGACCAAATTAAACACAGTAGTTAAAATGGCAGTATTGTATTTCCATTGTAAGATGGTGAACAAAGCAAGAAAAGTGCTGTCAGTCCAAGCTGCTTACATCCTTTAAACGGGGCTATCAAAACCAGCAACATGCACAGTCGTACATATGCACAAAGTGGAATTATATCAACAAATATACAAAATACCCAAAATAACAATATTTACAGGTTTAAAAATATAAACATTGATTTATCTATCCCATCAAACCATTGGAATGGTAAAGGAGCAGAGACCTATTGCCGTTTAGAATTGTTCTTTAAAGCAGATTTGGAAAACATAGAGTTCACTCTAGGAAACAAATTTTTGATGTTTTGGGGGAGTTTAACATTCTATTATAAAAATAATATCTATAAACCTACTAACAGTTTTCCTCCTGTGCACAAAAATAATGCAGCCAAAACTTGTCCTCAAAGACAAGCTTGACTGTCAGGAAATTTATAGAGAAATGGAGCTTCTCACTTGGCTTTTCTTTGTCACTGTTGTTGAACAACCTTCAGTTCCTTATATTACACTGAGCACCTGCAAATGAATCACACGGGTGACACCTGACACTCACGAGGGGCCTGGCAAGTCACTGGTGACAAATGAAAACCACAGGACTTTAACATCAAAGCCATTCTCCCATATATTCTTGATAAATTTACCACTATCAATCAGATCATCTGTGTTCAGCTAAATTTATCTTGGAAGCAATAAAAACATTCGATAGTTCTTTATTAGACATTTGAGAAGGTTCATTAATTCTGCTTGGCTACCAAGGCCATCCCCCAGCCCGCCAGTGACACGTACATGTGTTAGGTCACATACATTTTAGTATTTCTACTTTAGGTTATTAAATGACCCCAATCTGAAAATGTCTGAGAAAGTTTAATGTGTCTCAAAGAACCAAGAACCAAGGCTTCATGTATATTCTCACACAGAACAGAAACTTAATTATTAAACAATTTCAAAAAAATCCTCCAAGTTTTCAAGTCAGTCAGGTAAGGGCTAGCATTGAATTCTCCCATTGTGCCTCATCACAGTTGGCCTAAAATTCAGGGATAAAAGCTGACCAAAAGTAAGTAGTAAATATCATAGTAAAATAATCTTGTTAGTTGTGATAGTGATGTAATTTCAAGCTGATTTTCCCTGAATACTGAGGAAGGCATCTTACTAAGATTAGAGGGAAAGGAAGCAAGACAGCAGCCTGATGGATTCCCCAGTGAAATTGCATTGCTGAAATATTATTGGTAAAACAGCAATAAGATTAAATAATCTATATGTGCACCCTAAAATAACTGGGGGATATGTTGACTGACCCAAGTAAGTAAGAAAACACCTGCTTGCCCCTGAATCAACCTTTTAAACGTATACGTGATGTAGATTTTTTTTTAATTTATTATTTATTTTTTAATTTTATGTGTATGCGTGTATTGCCTGCATATAGGTAAGTGTACCCTTGTTGTGCAATGCCTGAGGAGGTCAGAAGAGGCTGTCGGGTCCCCTGGGACTGGTGTTACCGACAGCCATTAGCTGCCATGTGGGTGCTGGGATTCGAACCCAGGTCCTCTGCAAGAATAACCAGTGTTCCCAACTGCTGAGCCATCTTTCCAGCCCTGTAATGTAGATTTTTATGAAGGCTATCAATGGCTGTTTTAAAATAAAGTTCTGTTTTAAAAATAGTCATCATTTTAGTAATATCTGCCACTGTAAAAACTGAATTTGATTCTTATAGTTAAGAACTTAAAACAGTTTCTTACTTAAAACAAGTAATTCAAATAGTGAGCTTTATGGCTGAAGAAAGATCTCTAATAAAATATGAGCTATGCCTGGTGTGGTAGCACACGCCTTTAATCCCAGCACTCAGGAGGCAGAGGCAGGCAGATCTCTATGAGATCAAGGGCAGCCTGGTCTACATAATGAGTTCCAGGCCAACTGTGATTACATAATGAGACTTTGTCTAAAAAAATAAATTAGTAGTATTTTTAAAAACACAAAAAACAAAAACCTTGAGCTATGGAGTCAGATTTCTGACTCAAGTGCTGCCCCTGTCACTACATGGATGTCATTGGCTAAAATGACTTTAAACCTTTCCAAGCATCATTTTCTTGCTCTGGGGAATGGATCCAACACAAACCTTACATGTTTCTTATGAACAGAAAAGATAATTGTGTAAAACAAAACATGGAGCATTAGTCCCAAAACTATACAAAACACAGCCTATGTGAGTTACTGCAATTAACTATAAAATCACCTTCATGGTCATTGGCAATGGAATGCATTCAGTAACTGTCAGTTAAGTGAACAGAAGCCAGGATCTCAGAGCCACAGAAGGAAGGTAGGATGGATGGCTTGTGATGGAAGATACTTGCGTCTGGAGTTCAGAGTTGGACCAGGGCAAAGGGTAACTCAGCCAGTCTCATTTACACAGACACCAGACAAGTGATGCTGATGATGAGAAATTGGAGTCTTGTGCGCTGCTGGCCGGGGTGTAAAATGGTATGAAAGTTTCTCAAAACCTTAAAATTACTACATGGTTCAGGGATTCTGCTTTGGAGTATTTATCTGAAAGTATTGAAGTCAGGATCTTGAAAAGAAATTTCCATTCCCATGTACACAGGGGCATTATTCACAGTAACCAAGATGTAGAAACATGTCTGCTAACCCATGACTGGATATTTTTTTTTTATATAGCACAGTGGAATACTAGTCAGCTGCCAAAAAGAAAGAAACCCTGAATGTATAACAATATGGATAGATCAGGAAGATGTGCTCAGTGAAATAAGACTGTCACACAAGGACAAGTACTGCCTGGTCCCTCTTCTATGAGTTATCTACAATAGTCCAACTAATAGAATCAAAGAGCAGGATGGTGGTTGCCAGGGGCTGAGGGAGGTCATGGGAAGTCGATGATAAATGAGTAATAAAGTTTCCTTTACCCCAGGATGAATAAATTCTAGAGGTCTGCTGTAAGCAGTGTGTCTATAGTGAACAATACCGTATTGTACATTTAAAAATTGAAGAGGGCAGACCTCACGTCGAATGTTCTTACTACAATGAAAATAGAGCACCCAGAGCAAGGCCAGTCTAGGCTTATGGTAGAAAAACAAGTGAAGCGTGTCTGGAATGGCCAAAATCCGATCAGGGAAGAAGTGTTGCCATGACAACAGAAGAGAGGAGACTTTGTACTTTCCATGTTAATCCCTGGAAGGAGAGGTTTCTCCTAAGAGAAGGAAGCAGTCTGTTTGCCCATGAGCACAGGGGACTACATAGGGCAGCCGAGTGACTGGAAGTGTGTCCCCTTAGACACAAAGCTAATTTCAGCAGCTTAGACACAGGTTAGCTTTTCCTGTTAAAAGTGCTGTTAATGGCTTCAGGAGTTCTTAGCTCTTGTGTTACCACAGGGCACTAAGCAATTAATAGCCTTGCCGCAGAGGCTAGGGGAAAAGGGAGGCACAGAAAGAGACAGAAGCAGAGAGAGGCAGAGATGGAGGGTTAGGAAGAACAGAAAGTCTGAATTAAAGATGTCCTAAGAGGAGAGAGAATTACCTCCCCCAATGCCTTCAAATACTTGCTGAGCCCCCAGCAGTGCCAGAGCATAGGAAGTGTGGGGCAATGGATCTGTGGCTTCATTCACTCCATTCAGCTCTACCATACAAACTAAAAGCAATGCATACAGATGCAAAAAATAGTAAGATAAAATATGTCAAATAAAAGTGTTTTAATGAATATTAAGAAAATCCAACAATAGCACAGCTACATGGAAGCCCCAAACCGATTTATCATCATCATCATCATCATCATCATCATCATCATTATTAGATACAGTACATGTTCCAGAAATGTATGCTGCACTGAATTCAAGCCCGTATCATAAAAGCTGCTGTTGTCAGCTGGGAGCTTTCATGACATTTACTCTTCCCTGGTTCAGTTCAGGAAGGAACTCCTTTCTAGTAGCTCCAATCTGAAACACCTTTTGACAGTATTATCTGCAGGTGAGCTAATCAGTTTCCTTCTAAGCTGCTATTGTTGCAACAAACTGTCTCCTTTGAACCATCACCCCAGGAGAAGCACTCTAGGACAGTCAGCCAGGAAAGGGCAGGAGAGTAGGGCTGGGTGATAACTCTGAGGGAGAACTATGCTTCACACACTGAAATTCCCCTTCCACCATGCAGTGTCTAAGGTACACTCTGCCTAAGCTCCCACTGGTCTTACACTACTTCATAAGTATTTTTTGTGTATGTAATATGTGTAGAAATAAAATTTCTAAGGTTGAGTTCACACAAATCACCCAGTCATTTCTTGGTCTGCTGGGGATGGGAAACAGGGTTAACTGAAGTTAACTGAGGTATTTGGGTTTTTCTTATTTCATCCAGAACTTTCTAAGTGGTCATCCTGGTGGCAAGGAGAGGCAGCTGGAAAATCCTTGAATTAATTTCTTAGCACCGAGGAGGGAGGCAGAGTGCATGCAACTGCTAGAGCACACCTCAGCTGGGGCTAAGTACGGCAAGCTGAGTCCAAATGTTCCCAACTCAAGACACATTTCAAATCACTGGAAACCAGAAGGAATAAAACATGCTAACAAGGGTCCAGACTGACTAACAACATGGGAAGTGTGAGGGCTGCAAGCGCCTAAGATGAACACAAAGGACCTCCTGACACAACAGGAAGAGCCCACCTCAAGCTAATCACAGGTGGGAAAGTGAAGACTCTTAGAAAGTTTAAAGAGTTTGTAACACTTTTAACACCCGATGTGGCCTTTAGACCTTAACCATTGAGTCAGCAAAGGGCTATTTGCATATTCATTTCAATGAATGAAAAACTGGAGTGAATAAGTCCTTTAAATTGGGCAGGGCATTATCTTCATAGATTAAACACTGACTATATACTTGTATTAAAGTAGGCAGATAATGTTTGTACAAAATGTAGCTCAAAGAAGTCCTGATGGTCTGCATTCCATTATTGTAAGGAGTAGTAATAAAAAATTATTTCCTCTTGTGATTATTTGAAATGCTGTAGTAAATGAAATGTCCCCCTGGTGCCAGTGGGAGAATAAGGCCTCCAGGAGCCATAAGGCAAGACTAACGCCTGTGATGTAGACATTAAAGTCCAGCTGTCTTTGTGCAGAACCATTAAACTGACAAATCACAGCCCAAAACCCAATTTGGCTTTCCCCCCATAATTCTGGGCAGCTCTTTGATGAAAGGATGTTAACCCACTGAGTATCTTAGAATCATATTTATCAGAAAAAACCTTATCTAATCCTTTTCTCAAAAAATCAGCAAAGATGGGCCTATACATCCTTACTAGGCTATTACAGAATGTGGCATGTAAGTCTAGAAATTTCTTACAATCTCTGGGGACACAAATGAGGCAAAGTAGCCCTTGTCATAAGAAAACAACTCATCCTTTTCTGTGGTTGGAAAAGACCATCATCCCACCTGCACATGACCAAGGACATGCGACTAGTGGCAATATCCTTCACTTGACTGGTAGGGGTGCAGTTCTTAAAGGTATAGGGTAAAAAACAAAATCAGGAAAAAGCATGGGGAAAAGAATTTTTTTAAAGAAAATATTTTACCTTTATAACTGGCTAATCGACAGGGGAAATTTCAGTAAATCTTGCTAACATTTTCCTTCACTAACAATGAGAGGACGGTGTAGTGTGAGTGTAGAAATAAGCTCCCAAACTGTGAAAGCCAAAACAGTTGCTTCTGCTGCTTCAGAAACCAACTCATTATTCCCAAAGTGTCTGAATCCATTCCTCAGGTAGTCTAGCTTTCCTGTACAGTTGAATGAATGAGAGAACAAAGCCCTGCCCAGGAGTTGTGCAAAGGATGGCATGATCTGCAGGAAAAAAGTGCAAGAAAGTTCCTTTGTTTTATTGCTAGAAATAAAATGTATGTTCTCTCCAATTCTGGAGGAAAATGAATGCATTTTGAGACTGAATATGTCTATAAATATTAATCAAATTTGAAGTCTTCTCAAGGACAGAAATAATTTTCAAAATATTGTCAAACCTAAATGGTTTTGAGGTGCCTTTTGTCTGCTGGTTCGCGTCCAGATGAATGCTTGAGCTTGCAGGAGATGCCTGTGTGAATTCTGATAATGGTTCAAAGTGCTTAGGGCTAGGACTGCAGGAGGGCCTCAACCATAGACGTAAGGGAATTTAAAATTAAAATGGTACTTTGAAATAACATTAAGGATCTGAGGCAGCACAATAAAAGCCAGTAATGTGACTGAGAAAGGAATGCAGCCAACATCTGCCCCCCTTCTAAGGGAACGGCTACAGATTTAAAATGGGGAACAAGCTCCTTTATGCTTTATCAATTTTCCTTTGATGGTCAATTATTTTTACTTTCTTCATACTATTAAAATAAGTTTTCATATATTTAACTTGCCTTATTCTTTTTCCTTTACAAAATAGAAATAAAAAGTTAAACACAAAATAGTCCATTTCTTAATAATCTCTCTGGAGTTCCAGTGTTCACGTCATTCACACATGTGCAGTTTCTCTGGAATAAGTACCGTTTTCCTGATGTGATGCATCACCTCCCAGGATAAGTTCTGGCTCTTTGAATTCAGTGTACTGAAGTGCATTTCAAAACACTTATCAGTTTAATCACCAGACACTAACAGCATTCTAGGAACCGCTTCACTTTATCATTCAAACTACCAAGGCATAAAAGTTTCAGCTGAAACATTAGAACGCACATATATAGTTAAACCACTTCTCAAAAAAATTTTAGTACAATGTTTATGATATGTAAGCTTGCCAGTATCATATGAGGAACACACCCGTTTCAGCCATAAGTTTATACTACAAAAGGCAAATGATATTTTCAAAAACTATTTTTCTGTGTGTGTGTGTGTGCGTGTGTGTATGAGGTGTTCATTTTGTACTTCCTGACATTGGGGAATGGTTAGATTCAATATTTTATAATAGAAATCTGTGACTTGGGGTGAGAAATAAACTCTTAACAAAGACCAGGCAAAACCATTGTTCAGGGGCATCACTTATTATATATAATGAGGCGCAGAGAACCCCTGTGAATCCAAACCAGCATTGCTCCATTACAGCACATAAAGAACCTCAATGGTTTGTGGACAGTCATCATACCCAGCTATCAGGCCAGATTTTAAATTCTAGGTTATTGACAGGTTGTAAAATGTTAAGTGTGGGATAAACTCAAAATATGCATTATCTACACATGAGAAGGTTGTTTACAAATGTTAAAATACTGTATAATTGGCATAGTGAAATCTTTTCCTGATCCTGATTCTTGCGCTGAGAGGGAGGGATGGATCCAAAAATTAAAACAAATTAAAAAAAAAAGACATAAACCTAATCATGAGCCTTTTATTTCTCCTCAAACAAATGTTATCTAAACCAGCCAAACTAAAACTTTCCTTTGTTTTTGTAGTGATAGATCTTTACCTATTTGCATATCTGCCAACTCAAACTTGGGAAGTTTTCTGCCAATCAGTGATCCCTCTACTCTTCAAAGCTGTTTGGCTCTTTGAGCTTTGCAGGTGTTTTCCACACTGTGATACAGCAGAGGGTCTCTTTTTTTACCCCCCGGATAGAGAGGCAAGTGTCCTCTGTTCTTCATCCTCAAGGCCCTCTTGACTCTAGAACAGCCCAATATCCTGGTGTGATTTTTAGTTAGGTTTGATTAAATCTTATTTTCTGCAAAGGCAAGGAAAGGTGACTTCTGAGTGTTCAGTGCATTAAAGACAAAAAAGAAAAAACAAAACAGTTTTTTAAAAGGTTAAAAAAAAGTGCTTGAAAATAATTCTTGGGAACTTATCTTGTGAGGGAACTCCAGGTCTTAGCACCCCCTCTCCAGGGTATCCTTCTCCTCCTGTCTTCCAGCAAAGACTTCTAGGCCTGATGGGAGAAGGATGGGTCCTAAATTACTCCTTTAGGGGAAGCAAGCTTCCCTTAGCGGTTTCCAGGGAAAAGTTGTATTCCTTAAGGTAAGGCCCATCTACCTCAGCTTTGGAGAGCTCACAACTTTTTGGCACTGTCGTGGCACGCTGCTGCTGCCCGAAGAGTGGTCCCAGCCAAGCCCCGGTTGCTGACCCTGCGGACCAACACTTTGGAGACCGGGATTTTTGTTCTGGGCAGCTCACTCCTGGCTGGTTGCTGGTGCACAACGGGATGACTGGACGGAAGGTTGGTGAGATGCTTGATGCTAATGGGGATTTTAGAGTCCTTCAGCAAGCTGCCTGGTGTGCGCAGTGGACAGGTGATGGTGCCTGGAGACACCGGCTTTAGCCGGGACAAGCAGGGTGTGTCCTCGGTGGCAGGAAGGGCAGCTGGGCTTCCATCAGGCTCAGCATAGAGATCGTAGAGAGCATCACCACTGTCGCTGTCCCGGGGGATGACTGCCTTCTTGACGCCGCTGGCGCTATCTTCCTCTGGGCCAGGAGTGGTAGAGTCCCAGTAGCCCTCGTCGCTGTTGGGGATGCCTTCTTGGGGCTCCTTCTCCGGGTGTTTGGGTTCCTCTTTCGGATGGAGCTCGATGGGGATCCTGTGGAGCCTCCTGCGCTTGACTGAGGACACGTCCTTGGCCACTTCAGCACACCTGGCATCTTTGGAGGTCTCAGGTGCCACCTTGGTGTCCAGGGTGCTGGCAGCCTTCACCGCTCCCTCCTGGGGCCCTTGTCCTTGGTCCTCAATCTGGGAAAGCATGTCCCAGAATTCCTGGAGATAGGTGTCGTCCACCTCATCCGGGCTGGCCATCTCCTCCCCTCCTCCTTGGTAGGCCACCATGCTGGGGTTCTTTTTAGAGACAACTGGCTTGCCTGGCCTGGGGGCATGCTGGTCACAGCTGGGCCCTGCCTCTTCTTCTTGGTCTGCAATAATATCTCCACATCCTGTAAGAGAGTCAAAGCTTTTCAGTGAAGTCACGTCAGAAAACATCAAACAAATACGATCTGCCGATGGGTCTGAGGGTGGATCAACAGAGGAAGGGTCAGGGACGGCAGACGCCCGGCCGCTGCCACCTTCCGAGTCGACAAGCGGGATGGTCTTTATCGGAACGTCACCTGTCCTGGACGCATCCTCGGCCGTGTGGACCTCGCCAGCTCCCGACTCGAGGGCTGCCCGGGGCTTCTCGGCGCGCCGAAGCCCCTGCGCATCCTCTCCCCGGGCGCTGGGGTCGCCAGGCCCGGCTGGGCTCGCGGCCTGGAGGCAGGGCTGCGCCGGGGAGGGCGCCTTCTGTCCCCCTGCGGGCTCACCTGCTGCGTGCGGCGGGGCGTCCCGGCCCGTCTCCGGCTGGCGAGCGGCTCGGGGCGGCTCCTCCTTGACACACTCCAGGCTGGCGGTGAGCGAGCCGGGCAGGATGAGGCTACCGGGGCCGGTGGCGCGCGCCTTCTCCGCGTCCTTGCCGCGCTTGTCCCTCTTGTGCCAGCGCATGCTGCTGAAGATCCCTTTCAGCCCCCTCTTTTGTTTGCCTCCAGCCTTGCCGGCCTCTCCGGGGTCTGCCTTGCCGGTCTCCGATCGCCCGTTCTTCTTCAGGAGGGAGAAGAAACTGTAGGACTTGGCCACCGAGCTGCTGGCCAGGGAGCCCAGGCCGGGCCCCGAGGCTCTGGGGGGCCCGGGGTTCGGCCGGCCCCCGCCGCGATCACCTCCGCCAGGCGGCTCCTCCTTCTTGCTGCCCTCCAGCACCACCACCTCTGCTAATCCATCGTGCGTCCTGCTCCGCACCATTCCCGTCGGACCCGGGCTTTTCCCATCCCCTTTGTTTCTGACCCCAAAAATGCTAGGCATGGTGCCCCCCGATTTCCTCTTCTTAAATAATTTGAAAGCAGCTTTGTTAATCTTCCCCGACGGCGGCTCTGCGGCGGGCGTCTCCGGCGCGCAGTCACAATGCGAGTCCATGTCTGCAGCGAGGGCCTGCGCCCCGGCCTCCTCCTTCCTCTTGCAGACCCCCGCGGGCGCGCCGCCGCATCCGCGCCGGCTGACAGCCTCGCCGGCGCTGTTCCTGCTCGTCGCCATGGAAACCGAGCGGGATCAGCAGCTTTCGTCAGCCGTGGGCTCACGCCAGGCCACTGTCATCCGCGTTCTAAATCAACCTGAGCCGCTCTGGCTGCCGCACCGCTGCGCGGCGGCTTCTGGGGCTGCGGCGGCTGCAACGCAGATACAGGACTATCTCCCCTCCTGCCAGAGGCTTATATAATGCCCTAACCCACTCCCATCCCTCCAGGCCTGGCGCTGCATCGGGGGCTGTTCTTTCTTTCTTGTAGCAAGATCTTCTAACACAATCTCGAGATGACTGAAGAAATTAAACTCACAGTTATGGAATTCAGATCCCATCGCGTCGACACACCCACATTCAGGTTCCCTCCTTCAGTCTTGCTGTCTCTGGGAGCCCAATCTTGGATCACTCCCGCAAAATGCCCAGCAAAAGAACAATGCTGTTTCTTTGTGTTGGACTTCATACAGCCTCCTCTCTTTCCCAAGTCCTTCACATAGGGGCTAACATGTGGATACTAAGCCCAGGAGGCACCAAGCCTATATGTCCACGCCGGTGTCTGGTATGGTGCTGAGTGTGGTCTTCAGGTTGAGGCTGCATTCTCATCCCTTCGTTGTGATTCCTGTCACAGAAGCAACAGTCATCAAATACCAATTAGCAGTGCTCAGCAATGAAAGCTCAACAGGTCCCTGGGGTGGAGGCTGACTGGTCCTTTGGGACAGCCACGGTTTTTTTATCCCTAATTCCAGTGACAAGATGGTGAAGTCACAGGAGTCACTGCCCAGCCTACATTTGGTCACAATAGACTGAACTGACTGGGAACTTAGCTTGGAAGACTCAGGTTCTCTCCACAGGTGGGCCTTGAAGGTCTGGGCCTGGCCCTGTTTTGGTATTCAGGGAGATGGTGGATATTTTTGCCCCTGTCACTTCCCATCCACAGCCCTCCAACACCCCAGGGCCCACTTGCTCTCTTCCCCTATAGGACAGGAAAAGTCAGACAGGGGCCCTTGAGTGTCCAGGAGTCCCTGCAGCTGTTTAACCCAAGGTGGTCTAGAGGCAAAGAAAACCTGGTCCCAGGGAAAACTTCAGCCCAAGTCTGGGTGTCTTACCGCTCTGACTGAAGGTGACTGCTAATATTGTAACTTCTCTTAACCAAGCAGAATAGGAAGAAGTTTGGAGAAACATTATGTTTCATAATATTTAATGTTATTTCTTAAATATTACTTAATTATATGAAATATTTACATATTACAAAAAATGCCAGTTTTTCCTATTCCTTTTGTGTTTATTTGGGGGGATTTTGTTTTGCTTGGGATTTTGAGACAGGGTTCCCCCTGTAGCCCCAGCTGGCCTGGAACTCACTATGTAGACCAGACAGACTAGTCTTGACCTCACAGGGATTTGCCTGCCTCTGCCTCCCAAGTTTGTATTTATTTTTTATGTGTTACTTATTGTGAAGAAACCCCAATCCCCATCTGTTTTGGCTTAACTGCTGTTGGCCACTGAAGCATCCGTAGTCATGATATGTATTTGGTACATATTTAGGCCTTGGGGTTAACAGTGGTATGTTGCCCTTTTCTATTTATTTATTTACTTATTTATTTATTTATTTATTTATGTCTTTTTGTTGGTTGTTTTTTGACAGGGTCTCTCTAGTCACAGCCCACCTGGAAGTCATAATGTGAACCAGGGTGGCCTCGATCTTGTAGAGATCCACCTGCCTCTGCCTCCTGAGGGCTGGGATTAAAGGCGCATGCCACCACACCAGGCCCTTTTCTATTTATTTTTATGAAAAACACTTGTAAAACTGAGATTGAATCTGGATTCAAGAGAGGTTTTCACTTTGGGAATTCCAACTCTGCCGTTAACATGAACAGGATGTGAAACTGAGACCACAGGATTTTCCCAGTATTTTTTTTCAAAATGAAAAAAATCATTTAAAAATATGCTTTTTGTCTGTGTAGTAGTATGTGTCTGTGGGTGCACATTTGCCACAGAATGGGTGTGGAGGTCAGAGGATGACTTGCAGGAATCAGTTCTCTCTTTTCACCCTGTGGGTGGGAGAATTAGGTGATGGTCTGGAGGCATGCTGCCATATCAGCTGAGTATTTCTCTGGCCCTTTTCTCGGTATTCTAATTCACCGTGTGGCATGATAAAGTAGAGTCCTGTTTGCCCTGCAGAGACCAGATGTGAGGAACTATAAAGAGAAACTCATTTGTTATTTCTTCACAGCTTTTGGAGGACAGTTGGAAATCTGTCTTGGTTCTTAAACACACACACACACACACACACACACACACAAGCACACGCACACATGCGCGTGCGAGCTGGTTAGATTATGTGGGTTACTATATAAGTAACTGTGTCAGTTTGAAACTGCTTCTGACCACGACTGGGAAGAATGAAACAGTTTAGGAACCCCCCCCCCCCCGGCTTCTAGGTCCCTAAGCCTAAGAGATGGGAGAAGATGGCCTGCTTATCCAGTGGAGCCCTGTCACCTACCAAGAGGGACCAAATGTGACTGATTTACATGAGAATCCTTGAATCTCCAGGGAGAAAACTGAACAAGGACATCAGGATTGCTCTCATTCCTTTGGGACACAGACACTCAAAGACAAAGGGACAAAGCAGCCTTCAGTGTGGGGAAGGTGGCTTGGTGGCCACTCATCTGCCTGTGGAAGACGGGAGCAGGACACTCAGAACCGCGGGCAAATGCTCAGTAGGCATCAGCCAAGGTGCACTATAGAGTGAATGAAGGCCCCCCAACTTCCTTCTCGGGCCTTTGCTATGTAGTATCAAGAAAAGGAGGAGGGCTCCTTCCAAGGGATTTGTCAAAAGAACCACACAGTTTGAACAGAGGGGGACCACAAGAGAGGGTGTGAGAAGCAGTATGACCTGATGGTTAGGGCTGAGGCAGGCTGCTGGATGGCAGCCTTGGGTGGAAGGGCAGTGTTTTAAACCAAGGCAAAAATTTCTCCAGATCTGACATTGCTCTCGTGGAGCTGGAGAGATGGCTCAGCAGTTAAGAGCACTAGGTGCTCTTAAGAGGACCCAGGTTCGTTTCCCACATGGTGGTGAACAACTGTCTATAACTAGTTCTGGGGGATCCAATTCTCTCTTCTGACCTCCACGGGCATTGCACCACACGGGTGTACTTACATGCAGGCAATTCACGCATACATATAAAATTAAAATAATAAAAATAAAATTTTTTTTTAAAAGAAAATTGTTCTTCATAGAGAAGAACAGGGCAACAGCTAGGCCTGTTGGTACAGGCCTGTAATCTCAGCTAAGGCAGGAGGACTGCAAGTTGAAGGCCTGACTGGGCTATAGGGTGAGGTCAAGACCTGCCTGGGCAACTTTAATGAGACCCTGCTTCAAAACAAAAAATTTAAAAAGGAGGTATACATAGCTCAGTGCTAGAGTATCTGTCTAGTACGCACAGGGCCCTAACATCAATCCCTAGTTACCCCCTTCCCAAAGTAGAGTGGTAAACAGAGATTACATTGTACAAATGGAAGCATTTTTCCTGAAAAACAAGATAATCAAGATCATTTTCCCAGAAACACCCAGGTTTTTTGTTTGTTTTTTTTTTTACAACTTTTTTCATTCTTTCTCCCTGTTGAAGGCTCAATTTAGAGAATGTGAAAACAAAAAAGTAGAAAGGGTTAAACAGTGGGACTGAGGGAAGATATTTCAGGATCAAGCTGCTCTAAAGCAACACAATCTTGACAAACGTAAGCAGCAGACTTTGCTGGAAGACCCATGTGAGCTTTTTCTTTTTTGTGTAAGGGAAGACTTGCCATTGGATTGGAACTTTTCTCTCTGAAGGACACTCTAAACAAGAAAACAGTTGAGGGAAGCACACAGAGAGATCCTTTGAGAGGCTAGCATCATCATCGCCATCATCATTTCCTACGTGGAGTCTTCTAACCACCTGAGTCCCTGGCTCTGTCTAAGCTTACCATGTGGAATTTCTGTCTCTGGTACACTACCCAGAACACCGTGTGGAAAGGCTGACTGGGGGGGGGGGTCCCCACTCAAAGCCATTGTGTGGTTGCTGCTGTAGGACTCTGCAAGTAGTCACAGGATTTCTGACTAAGAGCTTCTGGCTTTACGTTAAACTTGCCTCAGGTTGCTAAAGGGATAATATTTAATTGAGGAGATTTGGGGAAGATTCCTGAATTAGGACTCACACTTGCCACCTGCGGTCCCCTTGACCAGTCTAGATACCATCCCAGTTAGAAATGTCCAGCCTCCTACTTTCGTCCATCCCCACCTCAGCTTCTCCTCTAAGGTGAACTCTTGAAGCAGTCATGCCAGTGAGGGTCCAAGGGTCCAACCCAAAGTCCTTGTGAAGAAAAAAGCCTCAGCTTCAACAACCTTGATCTTCACATACCATCAATTTTGTCTGCATACCGGAGGCCTGCCCTTGCCTTCACAGAGCCGGAATGCAGCTGCACTCTCCTGTGCCTTCCTTGCCTGGTTTTGAGTGAACATTTCCTAGGGAGATTAAACAAGCATCTATTCATCCCAGAATGGGCACCCAAGACAGACCACAGAAACCATTCCACTCAGGTCTAGCTTGGTGAACCAGTGAGTGCAACTGAGGTTAGCTACAGTAATAGTACAGGCAATCTATGTCTACGGCCGCTGAGGAAATGTCCCCTGTAGCAACCATTTCCACATCCTCTGGGCAGGGTGGGACCTCATGAGCCCCTCCCCTCTCATGACAGAATGTTAATGTGCTCAATCTTGTGCTTGTGTCCAGATAATTACAGCAACTGAGAATTTAAGAAGGCAGTAGCCATATCCTACCTGAGTGGCAGTGTTCCCTAACACCTGGGGAGCCAAGGCCATGCCCCCAGCTGATGGGAGGGGAGGAGAGATAAGTGAGGTGAGTCCTGAGCTACACTGAAGATCTTCTGTTTTCTGTAAGAATATTTGACTCCTGAAATTTTCCTGAATATCAACTTTCCCTGAGGATTCATAGCTGTTCTGTGTATGTGTTTGTTCAGAGAAGAAATTAATTTCTAATCAGTCACAAATAGGCAGAAAAGTCCAGTGCAACCCATAATATTCCATACTGAAGTTGGGAGGAGACAGTTTCATGCTGGCTACTGGGTCATCTGGGTCATCAGATGTCACTTGGCTCTACTCTCAGAGTTTGGTACCTGGATCCTAGGTACAAATCACCAAATAAAAACCAAGCGAGCACTTGTCTGTGATGCTGGTGGCCCTCCAAAGCATCTCTTTTGCCCTTGTTTTGTTTTGTCAGAGCCACTCTTAGAAAATATTCCATCTCAGAATGCAGGGTGGGATGGGGTCTCTTCAGCTGTCAGTACTAAAGCAAAGCCAAAAATCAGTGTAAATGAGGTCAGATAGCGGAGGGTGTGCAGACAGGACGCCAGGGCTTTGGGCACTGAGCAACAGCACAGAGGGCAGCCAAGCTCACTGCGGAAGTCATCTAATCCTAATGGATGCTAGCAAAAGGCAGTCTGAGAGGTGAGCTCACAGCTGGGAGCTGGGAAGTAAAGCCTGAGAAATGAAACATATGAGGCTAGAAGGGGTCTGTGAATGCGGCTGTGTCACAGTGGCCTGATGGTGTAAAGACTACAGAGCCTATGCCCTCACCCCTTGAGGGTACTTTAGCTCATCTTTAGGAAATTCTGCTCTGTATCCACTTCTGGACACAGAGTCAGCATTATACGGAAACTTCAGTCCAGCACACTCAGCAGACAGACAAGCATGGGCCACTCTGTGGAGCTGGGGCAGGCCCTCTGCCCAGGTTCCTCACTCTCCACCCCAGTCT